GTAACACAGCTATGTTTCGACTTTGTCAGCCAACTCACAAAGAGGAGCAGACACTTGTTTTCACGGATGGCTCCACAGCAGCCCAGGAAGCCGAGGAGAAAGAGCATGCCTCCCATACCAAGGATGATGTAGACACCGGTGAATAGCAGGGGGTTGGTTGCTACGATTTCCCTGAACCCTGTGGGGTCCACCAGTACCCACACTCCCACTCCAAGGAGGAAAGAGCCCCCCAGCTGATAACGACAAAAGGCAAAGAGTACATTACTTAGACAAAATAGAAATCGACAATTCAGAAGATATAGTAGCTTTGTATCCCCAGCAACTCAAAAGATTCAACCAGAGGTCATACGGTGACTTTTTTTCTCCACTGTTAGCTATGCAAATACCACAGAGGTTGGAGGTAAAGCTAAAATAAAAGGCTGGGTATCTACAGAGCCACAGTACCTCAGTGGGGGTAAGGGTGGATAAATCTACCCCCTTGAACTACTCCTCCCAGCCTCCCCACCTGCTAAAGAAATGCAATGAGCTTCCATCCTTTCCCATCCTCGCTTTAATAAAATCCTCTCTGCAGCCACTGTGGGGTGACTCATGTGATTAAGAAAAGAAGATATTGAGTCAGAGGGAATAGATCTGAGCTTCCAACATTTTTACCCCAATCCCCTTCTTCCTGTCACCTGGGGTTTGTGCAAATGATAGCCACTCTGTGGTACGAGGAGAAGAAGCAGCCATTTTCAAGGCACTGGGCTTTAAAAGAAATGCTGCCGAGTTACACGAGTGTGAAACGGCCTTAGATAGACACACTTAAAAAAAATAATAATAAAAAAAGAAAGCTGTGAAAAGTAGTTGTTACAGTGATGCCGCCAGTCAAGTTCATTCTTTGCTCTGCTGGTTGCATTATTACCCCAGCCTTGAGCAACCTCATCTAAACAGAGACTCTAAATGGTTTGGTTGTGCTTAATAAAGCAAGAAAAGAGACAAACCTTCTTACTCTGACCCTCCCCCGCTTTACGGCTTCAGACTAACAGGATTACCCTTGATTGTCTGATCAAGACTGATAAACTCAGGTGCCAGTCACAAACTCCACATGGCACAATGTGCCTCAGATGTGTGTCAGCACACTAAAATTTAATCAAAAGAGAATTTGATAGAATCAAGATTGCCTCATCTAATGAAATGCAAATGTGGCTCCATTAGTCAGTCAGGCAGGGAGCACGCAGAAGCCCTTCTTAAATCATTAGATTGACACAAACTTCAGAGACGGCCAGATTAAGTGTCTTTGAGAAAGAGATGAAAAAAAAAAAATACTCACAAAGATGAGGAAATTGAAGACAAACATGAGGTACTTGATGCAGCTGAGACAGTCCCCCTCCATGGTTGTCCCCCGTGCTGAAGCCTCTCCCTGCCCCTGAAAGAAAAGGCATTAAACACAACATAAAACGTGCCACTTAATGACTCCTGCCAAATGCTCACAGTATTCCCCACTTTCCTGCACCCTGGATAAGCATTACGCTGAAACTGCCAAGAAAAGGATGCTCTGCCAGAACCTGCTCACATTCTTAATGAGTTCTGTCAGTCAAACACACAGCACACACACGCACGCCTGTCAGCTGATTTGGTCCAATTTCAGATGAAAATCCTCATATTATCCCTTTAGGTGCATTGTCCCCAGCTATAGTCCTGGAAATCCCCAAGCAACTACGAGATTAGGCAGCACAATGTCAACCTATCTGACACATCTCATTTTAGCGTGCTCTCAAACTTAGCCGCCTGTCAGCTCCTCCTGTCTCCGGAAAAATGGCAACCCTATGTTAGTGCGACTGGAGGGGACGTCCATCTCTGAAGCATTTTAAGGAAA